CAGATCCACTTCTAACTGGGGTACAGACCTAGATGAGTCCAGGTAATGATGGTGAGCCATTGAATTTAGTACTTGAATTCAAAACATTGACTCTGTATTGGTTTTAGCAGATTCTGTGTCAGAAAAATTAAAAAAGGAGTTCTGTAAGAGTCAAAGATGTAAGCTTGTGTTGGTGCAGGTCTGGAAAGAAGATATGATAGATATCAGTCTGAAGAAACCTCTGATCTGATGTTCGTCTATAGTAAAACACCTGATTCTGCACTTGCTTGACTCCACATGTGTCTGATTCCTTCTACACCTGTCAGTGTCTCACCTTTCTGGCCTCAGATCCATGCCTGAGTCAGAACCAAAGTTACCATGGGAACCTCGGGACTGGCTTTAGGTTCGGCCTTGTCCCTGGCTGCAGGCGCGTTGCAAGCTTTTCAAAAGTGTGGGGGATGTTGTCTGTGCCTAAAATAATTTCATGTTATTCATCTTGTTAGATTAATTTCCATAATATCGAAGAAGGTGCAAATTTTAGACACGTCGCGTGTGTCTCCGTTTTAAACATGTTTAAACTGTTCAGAATACAAACCCAGGCTCTGTCTCGTTAGATTGGTGTAACTAAAGTTTGTACTGAATGAAACTTTACATTAAACCATGTTGAAAAGAAAAGAATCCGATTAAATCGTTTCCCCCTCATTTTACAGTCAGTACAGCGCAGTGCGCATGGCTCTGGGGTTAATCTAGTTTAGTTGTTTCTCTTTGCAACAATCTTCACAAGAAGGTAAAACAGTTAAATGGCAGGTTACAGATATTTACATTAGACTGTTTATATTGACGGATAAACTCAAGCATGTTGGTTGTTTTGAAAGAATTACCCCGACGCACACTGATGCACACACAGATGAGCTGACATTTTAATCGTTACGCACATCACGGAGGTAATGAAATCAATCAAGAAAAAATTCACATCAGAGCATCAGAGCTTTATACTGGACACTGTACTCAGCGCAGCTCACAGCGCACACGGTGGACAGTGAGCGAAAGATCTGTAGAGGGGTTCGGAGCGCAGTGCAGACAGCGCATGCGGTAAGATTTCCTCCCACTGAAGCGGTCCGTTCACTTCATAGAGCCGGCTTTTAGAGCGACCGACACATCACTAACGTGTTAGCTAGCAAGATGGTTAAGGTTAGGATAGGGGTGAGGGGAAGGTTAAAAAACAAGAGGATACGGTTAGGGTGAGGTACAATGAGCTTGTTTGGTGCCCTGGCTGCGGACATCCCATCGCCACAGTTTTACGCTGCATTGGGATCTGCAGTCAGAAAAGGGGAAAACCCCTTTTTGCACAAAAGTGATGAAAAAGGGCACTTTTGGCGTCAGGGGTCTGACGCGGAGGGTGGCTGACCAAGCGTTTGTTTTTGACGCGCTGGGAGTGAGAATGTGTTGGGCAAACAGAGTGAGTGCGACGTACAGAAACCAGACAGAAACCAGACTGGTGTGGAGGTGAGCAAAATGGCTGGAAAAGTGTGGGTGTTGAACGATCTCAATAAGAAAAGTGTGGGTGTTGAAACCCCCACATCCCCCACGGGTGCGACGCCCATGCCTGGCTGGATTCATCAATTACAGGGGGACTTTAGGTCAGACCAGTTCATGCCAGATCACAACCAAATCTGGCAAAGCTACAAACTAAAACCAGTTCGTGCAAACTTAATAGTTCAGATTTTTTTTATTTCAGTCTTATTCTATTTAATTTTACTAATGAGCGTATTTAGGTTTGACTCGAATTAGGTTTTAAGCCAGATTTGACCCATCTCAAACTTGAGACTTTTCAAATCCAGTCCACACCTACACCCATGTGTTCCCACCAAAAAGACAAGAGCTATATCAATTATTGAAATTGTACAGTTCTAATCTCTTGAATCCAGTACTGCTGACCTTCTTTTCAAATCTCTTTTTTGTATTGTTCCTATTCCAGGAAAGGTCTTTGTTCCTACCCAGTAGTCAAGATCCTGATCCCAGACCAGAATCTGATACTTAGCTTGGGCCTGTGGTTACGACTTGACAAACAAAAGCAACAGGTCGACCTGATGACGTGTCACTACACTTGTTTTAAAGAAGACAACGTGATCCGGGGTTTGTGGTGCTGTGACTGCCGGTCACCATGTGGCAGCACCGTAGACATGAACAAATCTTCTGAAGCTGAGCAACATGCTCTAAAACAAATAAAAAACATAAGCTGTTTGGATTTTTGCTACCAAATATGAAAACATTATCCAGACTCATGAACAGAGCTGCTGTGATCAGGGCTAAGACGGTAAACTAGAGATGGAGTCCCGAGACTTTTCTTAAAGGTGTCGTTAACGTGGTTAATCAATGCAGCAGTGGTCTCTAGTAGGAATGCCTTGTAAGTCGTACTCAGGGTACAAAAGGTCCGTGTGCCTGATTCAGGATTTAGAAGGTTGCCAGAGCAGAGGATGAGCTTTAGACGGCAGGATTTGGAGTCTTATTTCCTGATATTTGGACATTTTATCTCTGATTGGCTAACAGAAACGCAATTCTACCACCGACTCTATTTGCTCGCGGATCTCATGAACTTAGATTTTCGAAGGGTGGGCAGGGAGCAGTGCTAGAAGTGGAGACAGATAAGTACTAGCCTGCTCAAAAATAACCAGAAAAAAGGTGGAAATCACAACTATAATGCGCAACGCTGTCGTTTTTTAGCTGTAGTCAAAGATGGTGTCTGGCGACGATGCAAACTTCTTACTTTAGAAGAAAGGCCATCTTTGTTGTTTAATAGGAAATGAGCGTTGCGGTGTGTGTGTGTGTGTGTGTGTGTGTGTGTGTGTGTGTGTGTGTGTGTGTATGTGTGTGTTTGTGTGTGTGTGTGTGTGTGTGTGTGTGTGTGTGTGTGTGTGTGTGTGTGTGTGTGTGTGTGTGTATGTGTGTGTTTGTGTGTGTGTGTGTGTGTGTGTGTGTGTGTGTGTGTGTGTGTGTGTGTGTGTGTGTGTGTGTGTGTGTGTGTGTGTGTGTGTGTGTGTGTGTGAAGTACGCTGCTCAGCTGATTGGCTCGGTTAGGATTCTGAATGGGAGCGTTACCACGCCCTTTATTTCCCATAAGGAAGCATTGGCATGGCCGGCCAGGCTAACCTACAACACCTAGACTTTTCAATCCTGTACTGAATTGTTCTAGAGTCTATCAAGTTTTGTTAAACATAGTTTGTGATTTGTGAAAGTTTAGTAAAATGACATTTTAGCACGTTTTGGCATCTGGACCACATAGACTGGTCTAGCTCAGAAAATACAGAACCTGGACACTTCCAACCTGGCCTGGATTATTGTTATCATTCTAATAGCAAATTCCTTAAAACTTTGTTTCTGATTAGTGAAACTTGGATAAAATCTGATTTCTATTGGGATTTATTTTGTGGGTCTTCCCATTGCAAAATGACTATCATTAGTGTCATTTAGGTTTACAACTTGGGCACAGTTTAAATGAACAACTACTTTCAACAACGGAAGAAACCTTCTGCAGATGCACACATCTTCTTTTTATGGATACGCTATCAATGAGGTCATCTGATGCTTTTCTGCTTCTGAGCTGAGCTGATGATAGAATGGATGCGTGGATGCTTTCCTACACATTATTTATATAAACACCAGTAATAATATTGATACCATAGATTGGAAGGCTAAGTATGAACTTAAGTATCAGATGGACTAAATATAAGGTGGAGATGAGGCTAATGCATTTAACAAGATATTTAATAAATGATAATCAGAGCTGCTATAAAATCTTATCTCCAGTTTACATCCAGATTTATCCTCTCTTTTGTCTCATGATCAGCAGCAGCTGGGATGTTTATGACCACAAAGTTGTTGTTTTCAACAACATGCCCACTTTAAAGTGAAGCGCACTCCTCTTGTTTTGACATTTTTCTTGTGCTCACTCACTTTTTCTATTTGGATGTCATCTATCCAGCTCTTTATTTTTAAATTTTAATATTTGTTCTTCGCCTCATGATTTTTATCTTCATGAGAGGCACTTTATAAAAGATTGTCTTCTTTTTCTCCATGGAACTTCTAGAAGGTTCTGGTGTGTGGACCTGAGGGCTCGGGTTGGAGCGTAAGGCTTTAACAGTTCAGTAATTTAGGGAGGAGCTTGACCATGTGGAGCATTGAAAGTTCTAGTCAGGATTCTAAAATGAACTCTAAAGTTTATGGGTAACCAGTGCAGAAACATCAGAATAGGAGTGATGTGCGCTCTTCTGTTTGCTCCAGTTTGGAGCCTTGCTGCAGAGTTCTGGACCAACTGAAGGCGGCCAAGTGCTTTTTTGTTAAAAAATGTGAAGAGTGTGTTACAGTAATCTAGACGGGAGGAGATAAAGGCATGGATAACCATTTGAAGATCATGTTTTGACACCAACCTTCGCAGTTTGGAGATATTTCTTAAAGGATAAAACTGACAAGTGTTTTTGAGTGGCCTTTTAGAGACATTGATTGGTCAAAAACACCAAATTCCTCAAGTTTGACTTGACAGCACAAGTTAAATGACCAAATGGTAAATTGCCTGTATTTGTATAGCATCTTTTTAGGGTTCTACAACCCCCCAAGGCACTTCACAACACAGTCATTTACACACACACATTCACACTCTGGTGGGGATAACCTCCATTGTAGCCACAGCTACCCTAGGGCACACTGAAAGGTGATGCTTGCTGAAACTCTGGCGCCACCAGTCCTTCCGACCACCACCAGCAGGCAAGGCGGGTTGAGTCTCTTGCCCAAACTTCTCTCATGTCTCAAACAGTTGGATCAGGTTTTCAGCAGAAAACTGCCTCTAAATAGATTCAGTATCATAACAAAATATTTCAGTGTATAGATTACTTCTTACATCCCTATCCTTTAAGTCTGATGAGTTTACTGAGAGCAGTAGATCCTTGATGAAATTCAGGGTAATCCCAAACTTTGTAATGTTTAAAATCTATCCTTATAAAAAAATACAAACAGCAGCAAAACTGTAAATTCAGGCACTTAAAGGATCCTTACTTTATTTTGTGTGGTAATACAAAAAGCATACAGAATTATAGAGGAGAGTAGATCCCTTTCATTGAATTCCATTAGATCGTACACGTAAAATGACTAATAATTACATACACGTCTGCTCTCTGTCGCTACATCCGTACGTACCCAGCCCTCCACCAATAGCATGCATGGTCTCTTTGCTGTGAGCATATCAGAACAGTGCTCCATACCCTTCGGTACGTTGTTCGTCAAAGTAAATAAAATAAAGAAAAACAAGTATGTAATGATCAAACAAACAAGATGACGTCATCAGCCTAAGAGTAGACCACCTATAACAGAATTACTGTATACTTGTAATCATAATTTTAGAGTGAAATAAAGTTAGCTTGACCAGGAATACATTTTATTTAGAGTTAGTTTTCCTTCTGGTTGACTGAAGTTCTGCATCTGGGTTCATTTGGGCCCCAAGAAATGCTCCTTTATCACCCACATAACAAACCAACAAGACCACAACAGTTTGTTTCTTAAGACAAAAATGACCATGTGACGAGATAAACCAATAACAGTTCATTGAAAAATAGAAAGGCCGGTTCATGCAACATTTTTTCCACTCAGGTGTTCACTGCGGGTAAATGCCACTGATGTGAAGGTTTTGTTCGTAAATGGAGAACAATTACACAGTTACGCCTTCTGGACGAGTCCTGCATTAAAGCAGGTCTCAGAACTTCCCAAGGCTGATAACGGTCTTAAACAAAAACTCCATGCTTAAAAAGCTCATCTGCTTGGCTAGAAACCCCTAGTATCAAGAGTTTTATTTATTTTTATTAATAAATTAACAGAAGGATGATCTGGCAACATTTAATAAACAAACAAATCTGTCAGACGCAACGTTTCCCACCTTATTTGCATCACTGATAAATCTGGCGACGAATGTTCAGATTTCAATCTGGGATTAGCTCCGACCACACCTTTCCAGAATAATTTGCATGTAAAAAGTAAGCAAAAACTTTTGAAATTTGCCCAAAGGAATGATTTGAAGTAATGAAAGAGCTCAGTGGCTACAAACGAAAGGAGAGAGATTTTCATCTTTTATCATGGTTGCTACAAGGTTCATAGTTTTCAAAAATTGCCCAATTAAACTATTTTTAACATTAACCAATCTAAAATAAAAAAAGTGAGATGACCATGCAGAACACGCAAGAAATGGAACGTTACTCTAGCAACATAAATAGCAATGGAAGACTAGCTCTATAAACACAGAATAGACCCTCGCATCAACAGCAAACTAAAACGTTTCTTTATACTCAGAATTTTATTCTTCATTTAAATCAAAGTTTCTTAGGGCCGAACGATCCACTTTACTTTTACTGGTGCAGGAACTGAAACTAGGCTTCATCTTTACTTTCCTCCTCAAAATGCAAATGAGGAAGGGGGGGGGGGGGGACCATTGAAAGAGAAAACAGAATCCGTAAACATTCAGGTAGTCTGATCTAACAGTAACCGTAAGCATGTAGTCCCAACACAGTGGGAACACGCCGGTGGAGGCAGGAGCTATCCGTGAGTGCAAAGACCATCAAACAGCGATGTTGCAGTTTCTCATCTTTAATCCTTGGATTAGGAAGTTGGAGAACAATGGAAATCAGACTCCAGACTGGCCAGATTCAAGGACATTTGAGTAGAACTGAAATGTGGCTCCATTCCAAATCTCCCCTTTCACCATGGCAACCATTACCGCCTTCTCTACGCTCTGATTCAAACTTACATTTACAGAAACTCCTCGGTTTTGTAGTGTTGATGTTTTAAAATATGTCCAACCTCGCAATGGTAGATAACTTACCTCACATATGCTACTGCAGTTGTCTTTCATTCTGAGACCATCCCATCCAATCAGCTGTTACTTGGTGAAGCCCCTCCCCCCACTAATCAGACTACACTGTGTTAATATGGACTACCACCAAAATGCCATCCAGAATAGATGTATAAACAGGCTCCTCAACCAAAATAGATTGTCTCATTAGAGGGAAGTCTGTCTCGTTAAGTCCTTGAACCAATGAAATTACACAGATCATAGCCAGATCTTTCAGTCCAACCAGTTGGGCGATTTCATTTCGTGAACGCAGCCACCACGGCCCACATTAGTTCATTGGCGTTGGACTTTGTGCTCTCCTTCTCGGGCTCCAGCTCCAACAGAGTGTGGACTCTCTTCATGGCCACGTCGTACTGTTCATCTTGAAGCGGGGCAAAGGCGTTCTCAAGGACGTCTGACGAGTGAGCTAGAAGAATCAAGGCCAGGACCCGCTTGTCCATGCGATGGGGATCGTTGACCCACTTCTCCAGAACGGAGTCCTGGACCTTCTTGACAAGGCGCTGCAGTGGGTGAAATGAATGCATGTGTTACATAAAGATTCACATAAAGGGGTTAGACTCAGTCAGATTCATGCAGGATCAAACGACCAAACTATTAGAGCTGAGGAAAATAATCAAATAATCGATGCATCGAGATGCGGACATAAACGATTCAACATCGTAGAGGAGTACACCATAATCGATTATAGTGGAATGTAGTTTTGTTTTGTAACGGCGGCACCAGCGCAGCATCCAAATCTGTCAGAGTGTCCTCCACATTTACCAAGTATTGTTCCGCCTTAATGTGGTACTGCAAAGCTGAGCGCTGGATTAGTAACCTGAGACTGAACCGGAACCGAATCAGCCCGACCGGTTCTGTTGGATTTGGGCCGTGAATTATGTTAATTGAGCGGGTTGTCACGAGGCCCCCTCCACTCGCTCGATCAGAGCGAGTGAGAGAGAGAGAAAGTCTGCTGACACAAGAGAGAGGATCGGAGGACGCGCCTCCAAACACGCATTATTATTTTCATTATTTAATTATTTCTCCTGGAAGCGCTCAGTCGGACAGAGTGTTGTGATGCCGGGAGGTCCGGTCTTGGGAAGGGAGCGGGGGAGAGTGACGGCGGCTGCAGCGTAATCGTCTGTCTCTTTTATTTAGGGACACAGAGAAGTAAAAAGGAGAGATAAATAGAAGATAGTTTTTGTTCCACTTTATTCTTTTGTTTCATGATGATAAACTGATGTTAAATATATTTTTAAACATTTTCAAAATGCTTTTTTATATTTTTACAATTTTTATATTTTTTGTTTTTGTCTTGTGAAGCGCCTCGTGATTTTTATCTTGAGAGGCGATATAGAAATATTTTCTTCTTCTTCTTCTTCTAAATTCAGCTTAAAGAGAAACTGGGAGGAAGCTTTGGATCATTTTAGGTTACAGGAGATCTTGTTTCCTATCTGCTCCTCCAGAGACCGCATGGACATGAGGGTCACGTGGTGAGGGTCCCACAGGACAGGTTAGTAGAACGGTTTGTAGTTAGCTGGTTAGTGAAAGAGATCCATCAGCTGGGTCATTTAATCCTAATCCAGCCCGCAGCCTCCTGCTGCTGTTATCAGCAAGAATAAAACACATCTTAAAAATTATTGGAAGTGTAGAATTTGTTTTATTATTTTCTGCATCAAACAGAACTTGATTCCAACATTTCAGAAATGAACCACTGGGTTCAAATAAAATAACAAACTAAGTGAAACATTTCATTTGGTGTTATTTCTGACACCCTTGAACTGTGGCATAAATATTTGACTCTAGAGCTGCTCAGAGACATTAAACGCTCCTATATGAACCCATTATGGATTTTATTATTACATTATGTGTCCTGTAGGTTTTCAGTATTTTTTCAGATTTTGTGAGTTTTTGCAAAGCGTGTTTTTCTCAGCCTGAGGCGTGGCTGTTGAATGAGGAAACAGATATTTTTACTTTGTTAAATCTTAAATGTTTAAAATGTTTTGTCCTAACCTGTTGTGAATGGAGTAGTGATGGGAATTCCAGCTCTTTTTAGAGAGCCGGTTCTTTTGGCTCAGCTCACCAAAAAGAGCCGGCTCTTTCGGCTCCCAAGTGGCTCCTCAGATTTTCTGTTGCGTAGAGTACATTTATAACCAAAATAATGCTAAACTATATGTAAAATAATTTACTAATGTAAAAAAAGAGGGGGGGGGCTCCCAATGACGAGCCGGCTCCCGTCGTTCACTTCTTAGAGCCGGTTCGTTCGTGACCGACATCGCTAGAATGGAGCGCTTTTGAGGGATGGCAGATTGTGTCAATTACATTTTTGATGAAAAAAAATATATATATATAAATAAAAAGCAATTACCTGGCATCTTCTATTTATCGATGAAGACAAATAAATAAACAATCGTGATGCATCATGATGCATCGGGATATCGAATTGAATCGTTGACCCAATAATCGTTATCTAATCGGGAGACAAGTGAAGATTGACACCTCTACAAACCAACATTACAGGAATGTAAACAACACGACTACAGTAGAGGAAGAGGATTTGGCTTCCTGTCAGGAAAAAGGGGTTTCAATCCTGAACTCAAGGACATCTGCAGATGTATTTGGACAAGACTGGACCCTCGCTGTTCCGGTATTCCTTACTGGTGCACAACTAAACAGTTGCATAACAGCAAAGTCTATTTGCATGAGCACTCATGGAAATTTGCAGATGGCAAAGCTCTTTAAATAAACTCCCATAATATGCTACATCTGTGTTTTTCCCAGACGACCTGTCCAGGGTGCTCCCTGCCTCTCGCTCGATGACTGCTGGAGCTAGACACCACCTTCCTGCCACCCTACAGAGGACTAAGTTGTTAAGATAATAAGTGAGTGTATGCTTCAAACCATAAAAACAGACCAACACATTTTAAAACTGAACTAGTGTTTTAAAACATGTTGAAAGGGCACATTTACGCACTGCTGTCATGTGAGATCCTGACGGTTGCCAGTCCTGTTCAAAAACAGATGGACATGTGAAGGAGCTATGAACTGAACTAAACACTTTGTAATTAACAGGCCGCTGACTCCATCACTCAAAGCAACCACGTCACCTGTTGCTCTACATGGGAGTCTCTAAGTTCTCAAGTAGACAATAACAAAGATAGAGACTTAGAGCTCCCCGTACATACTTACTGTAACCTGGAAAACACAAACTCTAACTACAAATGTTTTACAAGTTTTAAACCCTTTTTATCAAACCCAAAGAGGGTGTGGGTGTATCTGGTGCAAGAACAGGCTTCTGGTGTCAGTCTTCTCAGGACACTCAAGAATACCATCGGCTCAGTTTTCCATAACCACTGGTGTTTACCTAAAACCACTTAAAGTGAAGCTGTGTACTTTATAAAACCTTTAATACAGGTTTCTGCTGCATACTTCATGGGAAAGTGTTTAAATATTTAACTGAGACAATATCTGGCTAGAAGAGGATATAGCCTCTTAGGCTAAAGCACACACCCTCACCTTGGAGGCTGTAATGGAAAAACGCAACAGTGGTTCACAAAAGGCCAATGAAATCTTTACATTTTCAAAATAAAAGCACAACATAATACTGCTGTAGAACTATACTGTGTATTTATGGATGGTCTGTATTTGACATAATTCCTTCTAGGGTCATCCACACACTGATGATTGTGAGCTAATGTTGTAACCACAGCTGCCACCGGTCCCTTGCAGCAGGAAACGTAGGTTAAGTGTCTTGCCCAAGGAAACAACGGCCCGATAGTTGCACTTCCACTCTTGAGCCCTTCAACTGAGCACGTTCTAGTCCAGGGGTGTGAGTGCGTAGGGTGTCCCGATTAAGAGCAGAAGTTGACCACGCCTCTTTTGAATCCTTGTTCCACACTTTGCCTTAAGTCTGCATCGACTGCAACGGGTAGTACCCACAATCCATTGCTGCGTTGGAATTTTAAGAAGGCAGAGCAAAGGCTCAAGTGCCTTTAATGAAAAATATGTATTTTCAAATGAAAGAAGTTCATTTTAAGACAATTGATATGTATTCATGCTCTGAATGTTTTAGACAAAGATTTCATGTGAACAGCAATAAATGAAAAATTTGTCAAGAAATTGTTTGAAATCCGTTAAAACATTTTTTTTAAATGCCACAAACAGTGCATTGCGGTCGATGACACAATACTCCCCATCCCAATTTGGCAATTATTTACATACTTGTGTACTAGGCACTCAATGCCTTACTGCGCACTTCCTTCAAGTGCACTTTGCTGAAGACTGTAGGGTGCAGTGTGGGTATTGGGATTGGGCCAACCAATGCGACAGACGGGGCTTGAACCTGTAACTCTGACTACAGGGCAGGTACTTAACTTCCCCGCCACATTGCCCCCATCAGTGGCAGATAAAACAACTGTTTAGATAGCTTCATGTGATGGCTTGAAATCATTTTAAATATCAGTAAAAATATAAAGAGAGCGGTTCCATTAAAATGTAGCAAAGGCCACCAGTCATGTCCTCGAGCATCAATAAACAAGCTGGCACTGTTGTATGCTTGAGAAAAATAACCAATAACCATTTTATTTTTTATAAAAGCTAATTTATTCATTCCTGTTTTCTCAGTCAGAGCTAAAAGAAATCAAGTGGCTGATAAAATAGCTCGAATGTTGAAAAACAATCATCAACTCAGAAGTCTGCAGCATTTATTCATGTTTAAATGCCAGGTTTAAAAGCAAGGTCACGTCTGTACGGAGAGACCGTTTGAAAAACAAGTTGTTTCACTTTGTCCTGGTAGCTTTGAGAATGTATGTGATGACATGACAACCCACCTTTCAACCAGACTAGATCAAATGTCACTAAAACTATGCAGCAAGAGCCGTCAAACCAGTTATAAGTTACACTGAAGTCCTGAATGTTTCTCCAAGAAATAATTATCAGTAAGCAGATTACAATAAGAAACAAATGTCGTCATATCGTACCTGCTTTATAGTGCCGTTTGTGAGTGGATGCGTGGTCATGTCGAAAAGTAGGAAATTCTGCTTCTCTGTGGTGAGGACACCTTTCTCCACCAGGTTTTTAGCCAGACGCTCCCTGACATTTCTCAGCTGGTAATGCAGCTTCAGGGGATTCCAAGTCTCTCCTGAAAGTCAAGAGTCCATGTTTAGATTCCCAACAACATCCCCAAGGTACAACTTTATTAGCCGGTAAAAAGGGCTGAAAATCTGGAATTAGAAAAGAACAAACTAACAGAATGTATTCTAATCTGAGAGATAATCCATACCCCCACTAACTAGGTTACTACATTGTTTGGTTAACAAAGGCTGCAGTGCTCATCTCACCACTCAGAAGCTCTATCCAGCTCTGGACAGACTCTGGAGGTTGGGTTTCCTTAATATGCTTCAAGGCTTCATCCAGCAGCACGTCTCCTGTCGGGGCATCAGACTTGCAGATAACCTAGCAAAACAAACGAAGATGGTAGCTACCGTCCACCCGGCTGTAATCTAGATTTACACCCTGTGCAAACAGGAATTACAAGAGGAGCAAGGTGTGTCTTTTTGAATGAAAAACTTCCTCTGATGTTAGCATGGCCTGGCAGACTCGCCCTCTGTCTATTCTTCACAGAGAACAAGTCTGGATACTCAGAGGCAGAGAGCGCCATGAGGGGCAGAACTAGCCAGTTTAAAATAACCAATCAGGAAAAAAAGGAGGAAATGACGACTGTATCGTGCAATGCTGTAGTCAAAGATGGCGTCTGATAACGGTGCCAACATCTTTCTTTAGAACAAAGGCTTTTAGCACTTCTTGTTATGGTTTTAAAAGCGTGTCCAAGTCATAGAACAGAGGAAAGAGCCACAGCCAACTCAGCTTCAGATGCCATCTTTCTTTGTTTATGAGAAACGGCCTTACTGGCCCAATCTCAATACTCGCACTTGCACCCCTACGCCCTTCATTTGTGCGTTCCCGGGCAGGGGTGCGAGCGTGTAGGGTGTCCTGATTCTCAAGTGCGGAAGTTGACCAAGCCCCCATTACACCCTTAATATGCACTTCACCCAAGTCCGCAACGATGCGGACCTCGGGCAAGGGATTTACCCACAAGTCATGCTGCGGGAGAAAAGGCTCAAGTTCCGTTTCCGAAAATATGTATTTTCTAATGAAATGAGTTCATTTGAGGATGATTATTTGATACTCTGAATGTTTTCGACAAAGCAGCAATGAAGTTAAATTTATTTCAAATAATTGCTTTATTGTTTGTTTGAAAGTTGTTAATAAAGGTTATGGAAAAAAGTATCACAGCGACCAGCATCACAGCATGTGTTGTGATCGATGACGCAATGCTCCCCGTCTCAATTCGGCAATTATTTGCACACTTGTGTACTACGCACTCGAACCCTACTGCACACTTTCTCCAAGTACACTTTGCTGAAGACCGCAGGGCACGGTGTGAGTATTGAGATTGGGCCACTGTGAGCGACATACGCTGCTCAGCGCTGATTGGCTCGGTTAGAATTCTCAGGGGGTGGGGTTACTTCAATGGCCCTTTGCTTCCCACAAAGACGCTTTGGCATGGCTGGCCAGCCTTCTCCAACCTAACCAAGTTACATAAAAAATGTAAGTGATAAAGGGCATTACGTAACTTTTAAGTGGGTTTCCGTGGAAATGTTAGCAATATTTTAAATTTTGTAGTTGATTAAATGGCCTTGGTTTAGAGAAATTGAAATTAGCTCTCAAAATAGAGATGAGCTAATAGATAGTCAGTGAGGGCAGTTTCAAAGTTGATTTCAAAGAAATTTTAATCCCCAAAATGTATTAATAGTTCCCGGGATCATTATTTTATAAAACTATTGGTCTCACAAATATTCTGGCAGAAATATTATGAAAGTCTGACATGCTAAACCAGAAGAGTTATTGATAGCTAGCTAGCTTTTCTTCCAATTTCACTTAGCAATTAAAGTAAATTGTCTAAAAATGTACAAGTTTACGAATTACATTTTGACAGTGTTTGTTAACTTTAAACAAAAACCCACAATGAGATTTGATCTCTTTCACCACAACAGATAAACTAACCTATTGAATCATCTCTCATGATAACAAGCTCACCAACCTCCTCTGAAGTTTTGTCTGCTGTTGGTTTTATTATTATCTGACAAGATTTGGTTGAGACTAAAGAAATAACAGAAAATAATCCACAGCAGTGGGGAAACTTTGGGGTCCCACAAGGCTGCTGTCTAGGTACCAAACATCCCAATCCTTTTCTTGACCCAGTATGTGCTAAAATGACCCCTTGCAGGGTTAATGAAATGTAACTCAGATCCCCATCGCCCCCTGTAGTCAGAATACCAGACTTGCAACTTGGGAGGGTCCACCTCCTATTGGACTTACAAAAAATGGAGTTGACATGCCAACACTGGAGTCTGCTCCCAGCAAGTTTCTTGCATGTTTAAGATCATGAACACATCTGATATGGTTGATTTAGTGATGAACCACTCATGTTGAAAACTAATGAAGGCTGAGGAGACATTTCAGCAGTTAGCACATTGTGAGGGGATGTGTCACTTTGGGTTTCACTAAATGGACACTAGGGGGTGCTAAAAGCAAGCAAAAACTGCCTGGACTCCCTTTAAAAGTGGGATTTTAAAGCTTGTTTTTGCACAAGTACTGAAATTACACATAATAGCTTTTAGGTTGCTTTAATAAATTGTTTTAAACGTAATATTTATCTGAAAAAACATCCAAGGCTTCCAAAGAGCAATGCATTACTCATTAACTACCAATGACGAAAGTCGTCATTTGCAATTATTTACTGTGTGGGCATCGGAACGAGCCCCGCACTGAGAACAAACATCTCAGTTCTAAAGCCGATCTTCATCCGCATACGTCACGTGATCAGGAAGCAGAAAATCTATGTGTTAGATCGTTTTGGGCCGCTGCTGTAAAAAAGGTGAGGCGCGAACCGGAAAAGCTTCTGCCGATCACAATTCGACAACGAATTGTGAAAGAATGGATAACGCTCGAAACGCACTGGGTGTGTCCGAATCCACGGGAAGGATGCTTGTAAGAGTGCAATGACGTCACAGCGCAGCGACTAGTACTGTCTGAATTCCAAGAATACTCATTCTCGTGTCCTCAAATGCGTCCTCGCTCCTCCCACATTTCGAGGACGGGTCTGTTGTATCCTCACAGAACAAGGCTATCCCAGCATGCTTTGCGTGCTGGCTGTGGATTTTCAAATGAAAGAGAAAATGGGGAGAGCTACGAAGTTTTAAACATAAGTTTGTTAAAAACTAGCCGTAGAAAACTAAAACGCTTAAATCGCTTCAGTTTTCAGACATTTTTTGTTTGTATATTTGTTTTTTAAATTACATTTTAGGCAGAAATCAGCCAGAACGAGTTTGTATCGCGGGTCCCAGTTATTCCTGTGTGTGTGTGTGTTTGTGTGTGTGTGTGTGTGGGGGGGGGGGGGGGGGGGGGTAGCGAATTAAACTTGGCATTTGTTTTAAGGACAACGGAGCAAAGAAGCGTTTTTATTAAGCTTAGAGGTGAAGAGTGAAGCTGTTTACACACAACCACAGAAGTTCTTCTGTGATAAGTAGTTTTACATTCGGGGATTTACACAGCTGACACGTTTTAATGAGTGTGAAGAATATAATTTTTATCTTCTCATGTGGGTAAATGTAAAAATGTGTTTATTGCCTTGTTGTCACCTGTGGTCTCTGATTTTCTCTGTAGGACTGCAGGTGTCCAGGGTCAGGAGAGGCATTACCTGTTGGTCATCCTGGGAGAGATGCCTTCTACTGTCATCATGTTAATGTTATTTAGCTGTTTGATATTTGAACACATTTATTAAAATAAATACTAATAACTTTCTGGTCATTGATTTTATCACCAGTTTTATTATTACAGATGTTTTTTGAACATGTTACATGAACAGAAAATGAAAAGATGGTAAGGAGACTAGATTATTTATAATACGTTACACTTATTTACAGATCAAAACCAGTATGGACCAGTTATGTACGGTTAAAGCGGGATTAACCCGAGTGACTCTTCCTGGATCATTTATTTAACCTGAGTGAGCAGGAAGTCTTTAACAGTGCAGCTGGATCTGCTGCAGGAGGATCCAGACGTGGATGGAGGGCTGGAGCAGACCCGTGGCTGGACGTTTCTGGTCAGAGGAACATCATACAGGACGGTCTGCAGAGTCATGTTGAATAAACAAATGTACATTGAAAACACTTCAATGCTATTTTATTAAAAAGCCTGTTTTTTGAAAACGCTTTACCCCCATTTGATGCAAAATAAGTTCTAAGGTCCAATTTACATTAGAAAACATCCTACTGCATTTAACATTTATAATGCATTTGGTTTATATTAATTACCTACATGATAATACTCTGTAGTAATGTGTTGTGTATGTTTAACAAGTTCATTCTGTAGCTTAAAACATACATTAAACCATCTAAAGTTAATATGCAAGTCCTGAAAGCTTCTAGAATAAACAAAATTACTTTACCTGAAAACGGTTGTGAACAAACGCTGCTGATGGACATGAATTTGCTGTAGCTCCTTAATATTCCTGCTCCATTTTCGCTAGCTTTAGCATTTTTCCTTTGCGTTTAGCTGCTGCCACCACTGTGACGGGACCTACGGGCCACCGTACAGGTGAAGGCTAGACTGTCTGAATTCAGAGCCGCTGACTTCCGGTTTTAGCGGTCTTCAAGGACCCGGCCTTGCTAGACCGGCGAAGACCCGTGCTCATAAGCATCCTTCCTGTGGATTCGGACACACCCACTGATTCTTCCTGATGTAAGAGGTGAGTCTCCGCTTTGTTTTGGTTGTTTTGGCGTCAACATCATCCTAGCGCGCAACGTTCTGTGACTCTTAACCCTTTGATGCATAATGGTCACTACAGTGGACAGGTACTCAAAATTGTTATTTGTTTTTGCTGTTAAGCACAGCTGTTAAAGACTTTATTGCATTTGAGCCCATCCATTTGGACTTTAGTAAGCCAAGCCAACAATTTCATGCTCAGAATGCACGCTGTCCACTGAGGTGGACATGTAATAAATTATTTGTAAATTATAAAATTTTACAAAAAATATTTGTTGAAATTTGTTTCATTCACACCTAAAGACGAATGAGAAAAAAAATTGTTAAAAAAATCATGGTTGAAGATTTCATAATTCATGCATCAAAGGGTTAAAAAACAGTAAAAAAAAAAAAAGGTGAGAAACGCTGGCAGTGAAGGGCTTTACGGATCAGGAAGCGGCGGCAGCGAATGAGTTAATACAAAACATTTTAAAGTGGCAGTTTGTAGTTTCCTGGGGGAAGTACATACATTTCAGGGTAGCTTTACATCACATCGCTGTGATTGTCTCTAGTATAAAAAACATTACGGTAAATGTTACCTGTGGAGGAGAAAACATGAATCCTCAAACTTTGATGGTCCTTAACTCATTCACTGCCAGACGTTCCTGGTCAGTAAAGCCCTTTGCTGCCAGCAATTTTCAAAATTTGGATTTAAAATGACGACTTTTGTCGTCAATGGCAGTGAATGAGTTAATAAATTGTTTTTTTTAAGCGTGTTCATTGCGCCTTTGTTCAGTGTTTATGGCGTATGTGTTCATTACATTCGTGTTAATTAACTCATTCACTGCCAGACGTTCCAGGTCAGTAAAGCAGTTTTCTGCCAGCAATTTTCAAAGTTTGGATTTAAAATGACGACTTTTGTCGTCAATGGCAGTGAATGAGTTAAGTTAATCCCATTAAGAGAATGCAATGCCAATTGTAGTTTTCTGGTGCTATATGTGAAACAGCTGGCAGTGAATGAGTTAACGTCTGGATAACAATCAGAGCCAAATGACCAGTCCATTCAAATCCAGCTCTCATATTTATAAAAAGGAGTCAGAGTTCTCAAGTAGACCAATAACAAAGATACAAAGCCATGAAGTGTATGTTTACAACATAAATATCCTGTTTTTTTAAAATAATATTTTAGATTTTTTAATGACAATCTGAGTTTGAAATTTAGACGTAACCAAAACAACGCTGACAAGCAGTTATTGATGAGTGTCAGATATCTGGCTTCATGTCAACTTTAGCATTTCAGCTGTAAAAGATTCACTTGTGGTCCTGTGGGCACAACAGAATGAGACCAGCATCATGTCATGTTACCATATTTAAATGTGGTAAAACACAAATGAAAAATTGCTTTACTAAAAAACAACTTTGAAAGTAAACAAATGGAGAAATTTATTTTGTCCCACGGCTGCACAAGTTCCACGTTTGGAATTCAATCAGAGACAGATGGAAGAGAAGAGCAGAAATATGGAACTCCACTATAAAAAATTATAATTTCTAACAGACAATCCCTGGTAATCTGTCCAACAAGCTACAGAAGTCAAACAGAGCAATTTGTTTTAGTTGTAAGCAAATTTAATCAAAGGGACTTTCTTATCACTTGCTAACCCAGACGTTTGACCTTGCATTACATTTTGACTTTTGCATATCAGGCCTTGCGCTTCCATTCATCTTAAAGGGAAAATGTGTAATTTTACCTTTAATCTCTGGAAATATCCACCGAAATGTTGTTGAAAATGAATAAAATGATGTCCAGTCATTGAAAAATATTGGCAGCTTCATAACATATAACCAAAAAAATCTGGTTCTAGCGTCTCTGGCATACTGGACGCCATGTTTTCTTCTTGAAGGCTCGGGGTCCTGCGCCTGCTGATGACGTCACACTAGCTTATTGGCTGAATGTACGACGTTACCACAATTGAAAACATTTAGGCAGTAAGAAACATGAATTTAATAACAAAGCTGCTAAACTCTTTTCAAAACTAATGTGAAAGAACAGAATCGAAAGAGAGATGCAATATATTTTGGCCGAGTGGTATTGCTGTAGTATGATGATGTCATCTACAGGCACAGGGACCCCCCCCCCCCCCCCCTTCTGCTTCATGATTCAATTCAATTCAAGTTTATTTATATAGCGCCAAATCACGACAAGAGTCGTCTCAAGGCACTTCACATAATAAACATTCCAATTCAGGTCAGTTCATTAAGCCAATCAGAAATAATATTTCCTATGTAAGGAACCCAGCAAATTGCATCAAGTCACTGACGTGTGACGTACGCGGTTGAAGATCGGCTTTAGAGCCGAAATGTTTGTTCTCACGGTGCGGGGCCTGTTCCGATGCCCACACTAGGGCTGGGGGTAAACGATTATTTTTAAAACGATTATTCTGACGATCATTTTATCGAATAGTCGACTATTCTAATGACTATTTAGATGATTAATCTAGGGATTATTTTTTATTGCACAATTAATAAAAACAAGATAATCTAAAATAAATTCATCCAAAAAATTGATAAATTGTTACTGTAAGAGAATAAACACTACAGACCTGCCATTTTGTACAACACTGCTTTTATTGTGTTGCGGTCGGTTATGTTCTGGTGACGTGTAGAACTTGGGAGTGCAGGCTGCTGCCTGAGAGGTGGTTGGAGACGGAGTGTCTCCATGCTGCTTTGTATTGGTCACTTATGTTCGTGAGGCGAGTGGTGTTACGACTCTTCCTGGGGAGTTTGGCTCGTGTGCAAAAAGGAAGGGACAATAACGGGATTTAAAAGTTAAAATGATGATCAGGTTTATTTACAACAACAAAAAAACTAATCTTTCCATCTGCAGGTTGGGAATAATAAAACTAATTCTGCCTGTGGGGAATTAAAACTAAAGTACAAATCCCAGGGATGTCCCACTGGGCAAAGATTACTGGGTTCTGGACCAAAATAAGGATTTCCGAAGGTCCAAACTCTAGACTGGGTGGTTAAACTAAACTCAAGGTGATATTTTAAACTAAACTGAAAACCCACAACACTCTAAATGTAATAAAAGGGAGATCTACACCACAAAAAACGATGAACTCTAAACCAAAACGTAGCAGCTTATCCAAACGCAAGAAGCTGTTAGCGAAAATGCTAACAGTAGCTTTACCAACGTTTAGTTCAAGTTACCAAGTTTAAATAAACCAAAAATACCCAGCAAACAGACCACGGAGGAGAGACTGCTACCACCAAAACAGCTATCCTAATGTCTGAAAGAAGCTCCTTAATGAAGGGAGAAACGCTCCCAGTGACTTTCTACATCTGCGATAGAGACGAAGCAGCGCATCTGACCCTGGAAGTTGCTGTCCGTTGCCGGGAGACGAAGGCGGGCAAAACAAGAAAGGAATCTAGTAGCGGACGGACACTGTGCCGGTTCTTCGGTATTTGGCGGTTAGTGAAGGCGGAGAAGAGGGTGAACTAGAGGAAAAACAGACAGATTCCTCCTCTATTTACAAACTCCTGGGGATGCAACAAGTCGGCGTGGTGCGTCGACTACCGGATCTGACATCGACGAATTTTTAGAATCGAGTCGTCGAAGTCATCAAAGCTTCGCAACAGCTCTAGCCCACATAGTAAAAAAATGCAAATGACAACTTTAGTCGTCACTGGCAGTGAATGAGTTAAACATGACCTGTGTCCTTTAGTGAGTTCTGGTCTGCCAGGTGTTGTGCTGAAAAAAGGATCCTGGTGTGACAGCACCCTGGGACTGACAAACAGTGTCAAGATGTAGGCATCAAAGCCATCATGCCTGTCTTTTATTCGGATTGGTGCGTTCAGCTGAGGTCGGTGAATGTCAAATGTTTTAACAGGAAATGGCAAATTCCCCTGAACTGAACCAGACATCATACTGAAGACATATTTGTTGTTTTCTCACCTTCCTCGCTAGCAGACCTTTCCTCCTGGCACCACAGGGCTCCAAATGCACCCTCCCTTTCAGGGCCAGCTCCACCAGCATACACCCGCGAAGACCAGAAGAAATACAGTCGTTCCAGAAAGACGTGTAACCCTGAGACCAGGAGAGAAGGGAAAAAAACTGCTTGCTTAGCTGACGTGTTGAGCAAGTCGTGGTACATCACTTCCAGGTTGCAAAGGACCTCACACCTGGCAAGTTGTCAAGAAAACTGCACAGGTAACGCAAACAAAGGAAGCTGTGTTACACATTAAAGACGTCGGTCAGAATAGTTGCTTTCATCCAGGAAATGATTAACCAGCAGCATCAGAGCAGCAACTAAACGACAATATGACTACTGACACGTTGCACTTTCGCATCGTTAAATGAGACGTTTTCTAACCGGCTTACGAAGAAATGCATAAAAACTGTTGGCATAGAAATCCATTAATCATACTCCACCGGTTACATAAAATACGCTTTGGAGTGTTGACATTTGGCTGGTGACGCAACGTAAACAGTATGCTAGATAATTAGACAAGACAAACTCGATCACATAGATACACGCAGGTTATACCTCTCGATCTTTGAGGCCCAAAAGTAACACTTCTTCCATGAGTGTCAGCCTCGTTTCCTTCGAGTCGCCTTTGTCGTCCTCTTCCTCCTCTCCGCGGCGCGCCTCGTCCTCCTCTTCGCCGGAATCCCTCTCCTTCTCGGCGGCGGCGCTGCGAATGGCCTCGGTCCTTCGCTGGACAAGGCCCGAGGTTCTCTGCGTGATAGAAGTCATAGCTATGGCAGTAGTTCGACAAAAACCAAAGACAAACGTCTGCTTCGATCAAAGAGAGAGACGTGCCGCATGTAACACAAAAATAAAGGCGAAAACTGTTTAGGAACTGGCCGATTGAGAGGAAACAGCCGCTAACGTTAAGCTCGGTTCAAGAATCCTGCAAAGCCTCTGCCTACTTCCTGATACAACATGGTGGCGGTGACGTCGCATGTCCACTTTACGGTCGTCGGAATTAAGGGTTGTTAATTTAACTCGAAGTCAAAACAACTTAAAATTAATTATAAACCAAGTTAATTTCTTTCAGGGTATAGTGTTTTTTTTTACAATCACATTTAGCTTGAAATATATATATATATATATATATATATATATATATATAATTAAACATAGAATAAATAAGTAGAATAAAATAACATTACATTTATTTAAACGTACATACAAACCAGAAGCCATTAGAATTTTTCAAATGTAATTAAAATATTCAGTCGGTTTACCGTCTGCGGATCGCTCCACATTTAAGTTTTAGGTACGGAGTTTTGGGATGATTCACAAGATGGTATTATGTGTTTTATACAATACACTCAACCTCTGCCGCATCAAATATGAAATGAAAAAAAGGTGAAGTAAATAAATGACAATTTTCTGTGTTGGCAACAAAGTGCCTCTTAACTTTTGAAAATTAGTTTTCTCTTATTGATCATTATTACAGACCAACCTCTTTTTGTTTGCTTTTTCTGATCATGACAGATAATGTTAGACAGAAATCTCCATGAAAAGTGATGCTTGCAATTAGAGCAGGGTTCCGGTAGAGGAAAAGCTAGAGAAGTAGGCCTGAAGGATGTAGAGGACCTGAAGGTCTACAATCCAGAGAAACAAAGAGTATGGAAAAGAGGTGACTTGCTTGCATGTGCAAGCAGGTTGGTATGGGTGGGGAAATGTGTCAGGTGTAGTATACCATGGATCACAGCACCATCTCTAGTTATACACTGTGATCTCACCCACATTGGCCACTAAGTTTAGGCACCAGACTCAGCTCCCAGCTGTGTAGGTGGAGGCTGGATTTTCTGACAGGCAAGCCTCCGGTAGTTAAGTGGGTAGCTGTGTGTTCAGCACCATCATCATCCAGCCTCAGCACAGGAGTTCCTCTACAACGATGTGTCTTTAGTTCCCGGCTGTACACCCTTCTACACCTCTGACTGCACGGCTACCCACAGCTGCAACTTCATTAAGTTTACTGATGACAAAGTAGTGCTTGATCTAATCTCCAACCATGATGAAAATGACCTACAGAAGACAAGTGGAGAGCCTGGAGAGATGATTACCAGCTAATAAACTTCAGTTGAACATTAGCAAAACCAAAGAGATGGTGGTGGACTTCAGGAGGAAAAAGTAATGCTACGGTCCTCTCTCCTTTGGTGGTGGTCAAGTGGAAAGAGTAGGAAACATAAATTCACAGAAAACTCACCTTGTCCACCCACATTCAGGGTCAAGAAGGTGAGACAGTCATTGTGTCAGGTAATCCCACCCCTACATGAAAGCCTTGGTTATATAATTTCAATGCACTTTTCCTCTCATATTCATAATGTTGTATACATGGTCTCATCCTTCCAAGCTCTGGTCTTCTACAAGAGGCTTGGGAGCTTGAGGGTTCTGTGCAGTATCTTAGCTGATCCTAGAACTGTACTTTTCTGGACTGAGATGTCTGATGTTTTTTCTGGGATCTGCTTTAGCCACTCCTCCAGTTTGGGGGTTGCTGCCACGAGTTCCCCAGTGACCATGAGCACCACGGATGTCTTCACTCTCCAGGCTTTCTCAAGTTCTTCTTTGAGGCCCTGGTACTTCGCCAGTTTCTGTAGCGGTGAGGATCGACTACGTATTTGTTAAGTGATCAATAAAATGTGATATTCCATATAAATATGAAATATCAATCTGATTGATCTTTGAAAGTTTGGTTTAGATTACTCTAGGTTCTTAACTATTCAGGGAACACACACTTCATCTAATGACTATACAGATAACAGACAATGGATGAAATGATTTAATGTAGGCTAGATGTTTTAGCAAAACCTTGTAAGTACCTGAGATATCTTGTGATGTCTGGGTTGTAAAATCAGTTTGACTGTATGGTTTAATAAGCTAGAGATCGTTCATAAATCCATCCAACGCCATTTGTGCTGAGTCTACTCACCCGTGTATGAAAGTCCCCGTGCGGTTCAGGGGGTCAAGAAGTCGGGATGGACACTGCCGGTGGCGGGACCTCTGGGTACGCAAGCTGTAGCTAGCTCCGAGCATGACCTGTCTAGTCTGAGATACTTTCAGGTGACGGCAGGAAGCTGGTGTATATATTTTGCACCATAGGCTGTTCAGTGGCACTTAAAAGAGCCATTGTCTGATATCATTCACAAGCGTCTGCAGAGCAATGTTTTGACCTGAGGTCAAAAGAAAGGATGGTTCCAAATGCTTACTCACCTGTGTCATGAGCTGGGGTGAGTACTCCTCTCAACATTCCACCTTTGAGCTGTGTGTTGCAGTAAAGGGAATATTGTGCGCTTTCCAGTGACGTGTTGCTTTGACTATTGTCACGGCTTCAGACAAAGGTGTCTGGATGATAACCCAAAAAGGTATATCTCTGGTATGAATCCTTCTTGTCTACTCACTGCAGATGTCCCTCCACAGCTTCTTGATATCTCGCAGGATGACGCTGTAACATGGAGCGTCAGCCTGACGAGGTTTGCAGCCGCAAACGAAATGTTGCAGGTAAATAAAACCATTCTGTGTTTTAAAAAGAACTAAAAGATGGAATTAGAATTTCAACACAGCAAGAACACACCAAAGCTGTAACATGGAGTCCGAGCCCTCCGATTACTCCACGACTTTGTAACTCTGAAGCACTCTCAAATCTGTCGGTTAGTTTGAGCCATCTCACCTCATCTCAGCAGATAGAGCTCTCGCAGCTACTTCACTCCTTCCCAAAGCTATTTTCAGATGTGCCTAGTCAAACTCACCTGATAACTCATGACATCACTCTTACTGGCTCAACTCCTGTACGGATGCACCCTTACAGGCAGAGCCGTGTCCAGGACTTTTAAAATGGGGTGGCCCATGTGGGGCACTTGTTTATGCATGGGTGGCACCAATGGTTATGCTTATTTGTATTTACACAAATCGTAAATTTAGTTATTTTTTTACTTTCTAGTGAGTTTTTGAGTTTCACATTGCACAATCACCATTTTTTCCTCTTCATCTTCTAGTTTTGTGGTGGTTAGCAAGTCACTTCTTGTTGCATTCCTGCCACCAACTGGAGTTGAGTGGGACTCTAAATACTATTTATGTAAATATGAAAAAATAAATAATATTAATACTACAGAAATGTTCTGTAGGCCTGGGCTAGTAAACAATGTTAAAGGTGCATGCTACTACCACACTATTTTGGAGTTTACAACCCAAGCCTTTTGTCAACAATGTAAAGTCAATTTAAACTGGAACTTGGTAGGGTGGCACCTGGAGTGGCCAATCAGATTCTAAGGGTGGCATGTGCTACCCCAGGCCGCTCCCTGGACACGCCCCTGCTTACAGGGCTAGTCCATTAAAGCGTGAGCTGATGAAAAGTGAAGTAACTCACCTCCTAGAAAATGGCTTAGCGAAGCCCAGCACCAGTTCCTGGAGCTCGCCCTGTTTACTAGAGAGAAAACCCAGTGGCTCTTATAGGTTCATTACTGACTACCGTAAATTAAACTCAAAAACGGTATCCGACTCCTTCCCTTTGCCTCGCGTAGATGATTGTGTAGACAGTGTTGGTTCAGCCTCCTAATACCAAGCTAGATCTTCTGAAAGGTTATTGGCAGGTGACTTTAACTCAGTTCGCTTCCAAGGTTTCTGTCACGTTTCGGTGTTGGTAGGACCCAAAATGCAGGAACCCAAGATGACACGAGGCAGGAGATGATATAAAGCAAAATCCTTTTATTAGGATGAATGAAACAAAAATATATCGAAATGGGCTGGAGCCAAAAAACCAATAATCCATAAGAGCTGAGCAGGAGATCAAAACACTAGAGAAACACGAGAAGACTGACAGAATTACCACAATGGACCGACACAAGACAAAGACAAGACAGGGCTTAAATAGCAGGGAGGAGTAATTAAGGGAACAGGAAGCAGGTGTGTGGAGTGAGGGCTGGAGGGAAGACAGGTGACAATAATTACCTAAATGGGAAAACAGAACCAAGGGAGGACAGATAAACCTAAAACTACAAATCCAAACTAAAAGGCTGCTGGAAGGACTAACACACACAGACATAAATAACTCACACACACATATACTGGGCTGGGGAACAAGAGGCTGGAGCTGCAACTGGAGGGACAGAGGATAACTAAATGAACACCAGACCTGAGGGAATGATAAAAAGGCCTACAAACAGAAGACACAATATTGAGATGCAGACAAAGGACACATGAGGGTGCTATGAGACACAGAAGGGAAACTAGAGAGGATGGAGAAACATCAAGAGACACATAAAGGAGGGGGCTGATGCAGACCATGACAGTTTCAGCTTTTGTCACCCCCGACAACCTTCTCCAATACATGGTGCTATCATTCGGTCTGAGGAACGCGCCTGCCACTTTCCAAAGATTGGTAAACCAGGCTTTTTGTGGTATTCCTCTTTGCAGTGCCTACCTCGATGATATTGTTATTTACTCGCCATCTTGGGACTTTCACCTTCAGACATTAAAACAGGTAGTTGAAAGACTAAAATTTGCTAATCTGACTGAATCTCTCTAAGTGTGTGTAACGTCACAAAATGACCTGATTTTGAGATCCCGCAAGTCAAATGCACAGCCAGGTCAACTTACCCTTGCTATGACACATCCTACAATCTTTTTCCCTCACAGGAGACTCGAAGTCTGCATGTAGTCCCTTTAATCAGAGCGTACTTCCTCACACCATTTGTACTGCAGAGATAATAAATGATAAACAATAAACATTTTCTCCTCCAAGGTCCATCACAGAGGAACCCTTTAAAATAAACTCCTTTATTCCCAGATGGAAGAAGAAAGAATATTTTATAATTAAAGAATCATTAAATATTGCCATTTATAATTATAAATAATGAAATGTTCATTAATCTGTGCTCAATGATTGTTTTAGTATGTTTACTTGACGAGGTCATAACATTTGCACTCACAAGTAAAG